AGTAATCTGATCGAAGGACTCAGGTGACATCATAAACCATGTGAGCGAAAGTGTGAGTAGTTTACTACTGTGAACCAGTCTAAAATTAAATTACAGCCTTGAAATCACTGTCTTTAACAAAATAATATGTACTGCTTTAATTTTCTGAAGGGGTTCATTCAGACTTAGATCTGTTTTATAAGCGTCAGCACATTCCTTGTCTTTGATGGATGACTAAATTTACACAAAATGAAACATTCTGGGCCCATCATTAAAAGTGCATGAAGAAACCATCATCAGTTGGTAACCTGGATCTTCTGAGACCAGTATGTACCATTAATCATTAAACCTCCAAAATGCTTAGTCTTTGCTATCACTTTTTCACCTTGTGGCTGCTTGTGGGATATTGCTGTGAGCAAATGTAAAGCATTTTGAGATGGTCCTCCTGATCTGAAAGGTGTGATATCAGATGCAAGGATTATTATTATTTCCCCATGCAGTGCTTCTAAAGTACTTTTCACCTCATACATTAGGATCATATTGAATGAATTAATAATTCTATAAACTGTATGGATAATGAAGAATATGTTATTGAACAAAACAACCCCTCTATTCATAATTTCTTTATACTAAACCCCAGCTGGCCAGACTAATGGTGGGGGGAGATCTGGCCCAGCAAGATGGAATTTCCAGCTAAGTGTCGTTTCAATTCTGGTACTGGCAATTCCCAGCTTTTTTTGGCCCAGCTTTTTTCATTGGCGTTGTAAATGTTTGAATCCCATCAGCAGAAGATAGCTGTATGCAAGACTAGCTGCTACATTCGCCCACAAAATACAGTCACTCCACCTTACAGTATATCCTGTGAAACACTTTGAGATGGCTCGACAACGTAATAAGGCTCTATATCAAATGCAAGAATTATTATTATTATTATAGTGAATAAGCTATCTTCTACTTGCAGGTTTCAATCTGAGTCAAAGTCAATATTCCTGGTTACTGAAGACCAGCAAGCACAGTGAGGCTGGGGTGCAGGATAGGAGAGTGGGCTGGCCCGAATCTACATACAGGCCGCACAATTGTTTTTTGACAATATTGTTGAAAACAGTAATTAAGTCACTTTCTGTTTCCAGTAAGATAGGAGTTTACTGTCATCTAAACTTCAGTACTACTGTGTAGTCAACCACAATAATTGATCTTGTATAATACCTTCCACACGCCTAATAATAATCCCTCCAAAAACCAAAAACAATAATTAAATTGGTAATTTTCAATCTATGACTGTTTGTGGGAAATTGCTGTGCAATTGGCTGCCGCGTTCGCCCACAAATATATAGTTAATTCACTTTACAGTGTGTTCTGTGAAGCGCTTTGGGACATCCGCCCGACGTGAAAAGCGCTATATCAAATGCAAGGATTATTATTATTATTTATAGAGATGGTGTCAATCACCAAACAAAGCGCAAAGGGAAAGCAGGTTGAGAAAGTTGATGTAGGTCATAATCAAAGAGGGAGGATCCTAAGAGGGTTATGAATAAAGGGAGAGAGGTTCTCAATGTGAAGGAATTTGGGGACAGAGTAGCAGAGGTTGAAGTAAAATTAATGAAACTGAGCCTTCAGCTCTTAGTTGGAGGAATCAAGGGTGCAAGCAGGAGAATGGAGCTGAAGGAGATTACAAATGCAGGGTCCCTTTAATGTAAATTTGAAAGGCTGACAAAGAAATTATTTTGAATCTATATTACATATCTTTGAGGATTGAGCTCTTTTCTGCAAAAGCAGTATCACTTTTTTATTATAGGAAGAGCTTTGCATGGGGTGCGGGGTGGAAGGAGAAAATTCCCTTTGGTCAGTAACATTTATTCTTGAATAGTGACAATAGTTTGAGGGGGCATGGACAGTATGAATGTTAAAAATAAAAGTTGCCAATTTTTGGCCCAGGGCTACAAGTGGCAAATAGACAGTGACAATATTGTTGAAAACAGTAATTAAGTCACTTAATTGATGTTTGAAATCAATTGAGCTGCAAAATGTATGATTTTTCACTGCTTCTGAGGCTTACCAAACATGGGGGTATTTAATTATTGTCTGAGCAGGTGGTATAGGTATATCTCCAAGTTGTTTGTAGTGTTGTAGTTTTGCTACTATTAGAAATTACTACAATATGTTTCCAATAGGATCTACCAGCACATGTTTCTGTTGTTAATGCCGGATTTGTATAGAGTTTTGGCTGGCTGGGGAAGATCAACGGAATTCCCAATGATTTAGATACAACTGTTGTAATGCTTATCACCGTCAGATTACTGCACTTTAATGTGAGTGGGAAGGATTTGCTAGGGACCGCAAGCAAAGAACTCTTTACATGAGATTGTATCTGTGGGAGAGGGTTTAGACACCCAGACTATGCTACTTACCCTCGCCCAACAACACTCAATTGCTCTACGCAATTGCTGATGCAGAGATGCTAAACTCCCTGGCAAATGAGATTTTGGAACTTGAAATATGAATGCTGTTCACCACTACTGTTCACCACTCTGAATTGCTGGGATTGATTTCAAATTGTTTCCAAGAGAATAAATGGGGATTAGTTATGACACCACACCAAGTTGATACCTGTTTCCCTCAAAGAAATCGTAAGGAACACCAATGTGGGAAATGAAAATGTCACCCTTTTACAGTAGGGGGCTCTCTTCTGGAAAAGAGATCAGGGCACGTTTCTGGGTCAGAATAGTGTCCTGTACTAGGCATGTGTCGTGACTGTACACGATGCTGATCCTGGGCACAAAAAATAGGAAAATATTTGATTTTCCAGCAATTTTCTATGAACCAAAACATGCCTTCTCAAACAAAAACAGAGAGAGCTGGGAAAACTCAGCAGGTCAGGCAGCATCTATGGAGAAAGGAAAGTGAGTCAATGTTTTCGGGTCCAAGACCCTTCGTCAACTCTCTCTGTTTTTGTTTCAGATTCCAGCATCTGCAGTATTTTGAGTTTTGCCTTCTCAAACCTTAGCTCACTAAAAGATTACTCCATGCACTTTTTCTAAATAAACTATGCTAGCCCTTGAACACACCAGGAAGTTGTGCACCTATAACCACAGTCTAGAGATATCTGTTCTGTGGAATCAAACCCACAATGGGTATTATCTGAGGTTACTTGAAGCTGGGAAGCCAATCTTCTATTTTTCTTGTATGGAATATCTACTTTTGTATGGTGCACAGCTGAAAAATTATACAATTTCCAGCAGCACTTTGTAAAACAAGCATTTTTCACCGGAAAGCTGTACTGCACATAGTGGAGAATGTAAGTTTGAGGTCCTAATTCACCGAGCTTAGCCACACTGTGCAGATGTGTTTGAGAGGGGTGGAAGGATAGAACCGTGGGCCTCTGTTGTATTGCCGCCTAGCAGGCTGTTGTGGTCCAATGATAGCTGAAACGTTATCTTATTTTTCTCTTTCAGATGCAGATTAAGCCTCTGTGGACGTGTAGTTTTCCTATTTCTATTTATGAAGGTGTTACCAATGGTGTGGGAGTGTGGTGTCTCTTGGACCACAGAACAGTGCAGACGGGGGAGAGGTAGGAGAAAGAATCTGAAGCGAGAGAAACCAGAAAAAAAAGGATGAAAGGGAGAACAATATGTTTACACACATAAAACATAATTAAAAGAATATATGATAATACCCATGGTCCAAGTCCTGCCCAACAGATAAAATTGGTCATTCACTTCTCAGTGGCTATTTTTAGGACTTTGCTCTGCCCAAACTGGCTGACATATTTGTCCACCAAATGCAGTCACTACACTTCAGCGTAAAATCTTGTGAAGCGCTTTGAGAAGTTGCAAGGCTATATCTCAAATGCAAGGATTATTATAGTTATGATGATGAAGGGGGAAGAGAGTGGTCGTCTTATTTATGTAAACCGTATATATGATTTTATCTTTTGAATGATAAACATTTGTCAATAATTCACACTCAAGTGTAATAGACTTTTTCACACACAGGCGCGGGGAAACCAACATCTTCTCCAGGTGTCTGCACACAATCTGGAGGCAAGTTGGTTGATAAATTGGTTGCGCATATACTGTGTATTCCCACAAAACAACGTGAAGCCCAGAACAAGTCCTCGATTTTAGATTGTGCTGTAAAATCGTTTCATTTTTTTTAAAAAAAAAGGTTTTTGTGTTTTGAAAAAAAATTCTAATACCCTTCTAAAAAAAATTGCTGGGGGGTAGTTGATGGGGGGGTGGGGGGAGGAGGAGGAAGGGATGGTGTTGAGGAGTGGAGAGAGGCAGAGATGAGGGAAAAGCCTCAGGATTATTGCCTTAAAGTGGTGTCACATTCTTGTCATTGCAGCCCCCCCTCTCTCTCTCTCTATTAAAACTAAGAGACGCCGGAGGAAAAAACTAAACCCTTTGACGTCAGTGGAGGGAGAAGGAAACATAAACAGTGCAGGGAGACAGGAGGCTTGGAGGAGCCCAGCCCAGCCCAGCCCAGCCCCGGGCAACAGCACCAGCAGCTGCTGAGCCAACCCAACCACCCAGCCCAGCCCAGCCCAGCCAGGGGCTACCACTGAGTGAGCCCCTCTCCCTCCTCCTCCTCCTCCTCACTCCTCACTCCCCCTCATCAACCTCACACACACACACATACACACACACAGTGTGCACACTCACTCACTCACACACAGTGTGCACACTCACTCACTCACACACAGTGTGCACACTCACTCACTCACACACAGTGTGCACACTCACTCACTCACACACAGTGTGCACACTCACTCACTCACACACAGTGTGCACACTCACTCACTCACACACAGTGTGCACACTCACTCACTCACTCACACACAGTGTGCACACTCACTCACTCACTCACTCACACACAGTGTGTACACTCACTCACTCACTCAGCCCTCCCTCCCTCCTGTCTCACAAGGGGAAGCTTCACTCCGCAGACAGACGGAGGTGCTGTTTTCTTGCGCTTTATTATTTTTGATTGGATGTTATTTTTCTCTCTCTCTCTCTCTCACACACACACACACACACCAGCGCACATTATTTTGTGTTTTTTTTTCTTGTTGCCCATCCTGTATGCATGTATTGCAGCTGCAGGAATCTGCAGCCCGAGTCTTCATGAGCAACCCGCACCATTCAGAGGTTTCAAGGCATTCAAGGGTCAGCCGTCTGCCACTATGGTTAAATGTCTTGTTTAATGGTTGAGGTACGTATCCTTGTGAAGCTTGTGAGGTGAGGAAGAAGCGAGCGATGCAATGCCAATGCAATGCAATGCAATGCACTCGGATCTGTTTCTCCGGCTGCGAGACGTTTTGAGTTGCGCGTTTATTATCTGCTTGAGTTTTGCGGGGTTTATTCCAACCGCTGTTGTGTTCTGCTGAGGCTCTGCAAAGCGCCGGGGGGGGGGGGGGGGGGGAGGGGGTAATGTCGGGGTTTGTCAGTGAGGTGTGTGTCTGTGGCAAAGGGAAAGGTGTGGATCTCCCCCCAACGAACACGATCAACAGATGATTGTAAATGCACCCACAGGGGATACGAGTGACCTGACTCGCCCCCTCCCCACACACACACACACACACACACACTCCCCAGTGCTGACTTGCTCTGGCGCTGGTAGTTGTAAAGTAATGTGTTACTGGCATTTCCCTGCCTCCCCTCTCAGTTGCAGCCTCTGGCGTGGCCAAAGCAGACGAGCCCAAATAACCAGCCGCAAGATCCTCTGGTGTATACGGTTCGAGCCTCCGCAATGTGGTGACATGCGTTTGCCCTGTGTCTGTATCTGTGTCTGTGTGTGTGTGTCTGTGTGTGTGTGTGTGTGTCTGTATCTGTGGGTCTGTGTGTGTGTGTGTGTGTGTCCCGATCCGAGTGCAAAACACCAGGCGCAGAGTGCATGTCAAATCTAATGGATATCTTATCATGATTATCATCAGATATAACATATAATAATGATAATATATTTGCAATACCCAATTCTCCTGTATGTTATAAAGCGATGACAGCAGCAGCAGCAGCAGCAGCAGCGGGTCGTGTTATTTGCTGCTTATGGAGAGAGCACCTTGTGTCTGTCTGCACTGCACGTCTTATCATTATTAAAATAATCTCATCACTCACACTCACGCCATCTCCGAGTTGATGGCATGAGTGTGAGTGATGAGATTATTTTAACAGTGGTAGTAAATTCAGTCCTGACATTGTGGCGCATTGCTCATACCACCCGCGCGAATCATTTGAGAGGTGGTGGTGGGGACAACAACAGGAGGTAGTGTTGGAAAACTTTTTGGGGATGTCTGGTGGAGGTGACCAGGGAACGTTTTCTCGTGAGTGTTTTAGGTGCAGATCCCAAACCCTGCTCTTGGCCCCCAGTTATGTCTGGACCCCCATGTTACGGCAGTTAGCTGTTTCACTTGTGTTTTTTTGTTTTTTTAAAAAAAAAGCAAAAATCCCCATTTCTTGGTGTGGAAGCAAATCTAAGAAGCAATGTGGATAAAAGGGGATAATGGCAAATTTTAACAGTGTGTGGCACTAAATTGAAGCTGATTACCCACTGATCCCATTGCTGTTTGTGGGACCTGGTTGGCACAGATCAGTTGTTGCATTTGCCTTTCTAACATCTTTCCCTTCAGTTCTAATCCGATACATTTTGCAAAGTGCTTTGAGGCGTTTATTTTTACGCGAATGCAATCTTTAAATGCCCAGTGTTACCTTTTCTTCCGTGTAACATTCATAGCCGTATCTCTCTCCTGCAAATGAAACATTAGCCAAATATTATTTATTATAAAAATAACGTTGAGTGCAAAATAAACAGACACGTGTGTTTCAGGGGAATTGCTACTGCGCTTATAATGCGTGAAGCTATTAGTAGTGAATTAGTAATGGTTGAGTCATATGAGACATCAAGAGTGAGGGGATGTAGGTTTGATTTCCCCAAACCTCCAGATGGAAGTGTCTGATCTTGACCACACTGTTGTTTGGAGCCGTCAGGCAAACAGCAGATGATGTTGCAAAAGAAAGGAAAAAGAATAGGCAGAAGAAAGTCTCCGAGGGCTCAGCTCAGGGTGGCATTGGCAGAGACCTGGGGAGCAGGTTGCTCAAGATGCTTCTTGGCCACTGTTAATGCAAAACTCTGCGAGGCAACGAGAGAAAACAGAATGGCATTATACCCTCCAGAAGCTGTCCAGATCATGTGCTTTATTGTTGGAATAATTTTATAATCCAAATTTGACCATTAACTATTCGACCGTGTGATGGAGCATTCTATTGTTTTTTTTACTAGTGAGAAAGCTCTGTATAACTCGAGCCAGGGGCACTCTTGACTTATGCTTTGAAAAGAATAATGTGAATGTGCAATCAGTGATTTTTATCACTGCCCTCGGTACGTTTTGTTACCCTTTGCATTCTTGATGGTGCTTTACAAGTGTCACCATACTTAGAGCTCAGTTTCCTATTTCCTCCTGTTTTTCTTTGTCCTTTTTAAAAATTTCAAGCACGATTATGTATGGATGTGGGTTTGACAGTGCTAAAAGGGTTAAACAATGTTTGCTTTGTTTTTGCTTCTGCCTCTCCTTGTATTAGTTTCAGTGATATATTTTCAAATGGTGAGAAAAATATATCTTCACAGATCATAGAGGCATCAACAATCAGCAGTATAAATAAATTGGTATTAGCATCAATTCAACAGAATGCAGTATGAATCTGATTTTAGAATGTATTTGTATTTAAGCACACTGTCCATTTAAATCAATGTCTCTACAAAATAGTTTTGTATCACTTGAGGTGGGTTGTGAATCAAATAGGTTGCAATAAAAATCCAGTTGGACCCCAGCCAATTGCAAAAAAATCAAAATCAAGTTAAAATAAGTTTTTTTTAATATTACTACACAGCTGGTTCACACTTAAAGCTCTTTATTAACATTTAAACAACGTAATAGGTATCTGAGGCCAATCAGTCCCCTTTGTCTCTTAGAAAAAAGGTCTTGGGTGAACAAGTATAAATCGGATTTGTCATGTTCAGATTTGCCACTTCAAATTGCTATACTTCTGGAAACTATGTTATGTCACTTCCAATAATAACAAGGGGGCAGAAACCTACTCTGAAGATGCTGTCAAAAGTTACATTTTTAAGGTTCCAATGCATTGCAGAACTGCTGTATTATCAGATAATTGAGACAGGTAGCATATTTCCACTATAAGCTGCTAGTTTTAGAGGTAGTGAATGCCTTGTAATAATAGATGTTACATAACTGCTTTATGGATTGCACTGTTTGTCTTACATCAGGGACTATATTTTCAGGTAATTCAGAAAACTGATACAATATATGTTGAATTTAAAAAGAAAATAAATCTTAACACAGCTATTGACCTGGTTTTCCAATTTATTTTTAAGTCCAGATTTGCTCCTTGACGACTAGCTAATACAGTATGTTAGTTTATTATCCTGCCATTAAATCTGTCATGTTCAAAACGACAGTCAGATGATATGCCAGGATATTGCAGTCACTTCCAGGCTGATTGCTGGGACATCCTGCAATGGTTGTTTTTAGGCGAGGTACACTAAATGTTGATAACTACTGTGTCTTTTCCTGCACATTTTTTTAAAATGCTATATTTTCTGTGATTTTGAGCTCATTTGAGGGACGGATTAAGGCCTTTGGGACCCAGAACAGTTTTAAGTATAATAATAATAATCCTTGCACTGGTATAGCGCCTTTCATGAGCATGTCTCAAAGCGTTTCACAGGATATACTGTAAAGTGGCGAGGCTATGTATTTGTAGGCAAATGTGGCAGTCCATTTGCACACCAGTGTCTCACAAAATCATGAAGTGAATGACCAGTTTTATTTAGGGGATTGTTTGGTCAGGATACTGGGAGAAACTTCCTTCTTTTTTTGAGTATTCTCAAGGGATCTTTAACTTCCACCTGAATAGACAGAATGGTCAGGCGCACAGTCAAGATCCTTTAGTGTGTCACCAACAAAGTGTTGTAAACTCAACATAGAAAGAAAACCTTTGATATTTAACCTATGAGAGTTTTTCCACTTGCATCACCAGCCCATATAACACGTTTCCTAAAGTGAGTGTCAATGCTCGTTTGAATTATGAGTAGTTTTGCAACATGTTTCTGTGCTTGCAAAGGACTGAAATGAAATTGCCACAAACTAATTTTCCATGGGAGCGTTATATAGCTGGGGAGGAAATTTTTAAATGAATATTCGGTATGATTTTACTGCAGGTCTCCGAGGTGTAAGGTTAGCATACTGTAAAGATAGTGTCTTTTATGCTGTCCACTGTTGATGCAAGTCAGTGTTTATTTTTTCAAGCCATAGAGAGGAAACTGAAGGTACAAATGACTTGAGTCATGACATATACCTCATTTATACTTTCAACTTGTCTTTGACAGTACCTCTAAAATTACTGACAAACTGCTTAAAGAAAGAGCCACTCGCGCTGTTTGACGGAAAGGGCACCAGCAAGAGAAGTTTTCACACCCCTTTGATTACAGCTTAAATCCTAAGAGATTTTTTCTCAAGAGCACATTTTTTGATGAGCTGAGTAGTTGAAGTCTGCCAATGTTTTTCTGTACAGCCCACCAAAGCTGCTTTGCTATTGCTATCACTGGACAGTACAGACATTTCCCAACCTGGTCCTGGTCCCTAAAAGTAAATACTTTTTGTGTCGATGTAACAATGTATTTACATCCTCATGTGAAGCAATTTTAGGCAGATCAGTTACTGTAGAAACTTTCTCATCATATAAATCAAGTGTTCTTTATGGCATTGGATATTGTAGCTGGTATTCCAATATCAATGCAACGTTTAGTAGACATAGTCAACTATCTAAAACAACTCATCTTTTTAAACTTTCCACAAACTTAACATGGCTTTTAGCTTCTGTGTTCAAAACATCCTGCTCTGGTTATTTTCTTTTAAGAAAATTTGCTTAGCTTGTTACTAACAGGTTTGTATCGTGTAATCAAGTACATTTTCAGCAGGCTAAAATGCTTAAAAAAGACTAGAAGGCTTGTTTGCACTTAAAAGGAAGTTTCAGCTTCCCTCCCCCTTCTTCCCTCCCCCTCCCCCTTTCACATGCGTACTTCCTGGATATACTTTGGCAACTTGCTAATAGTCAAGAAATATATTAAAGTGCACATACACATCATGGTGAGAGGGTGGGTATTTTCTTTCTTCTCACCTACACATGGCCATAGGAAAT